GCTCATGCGCAGAAATCTTGATAGTTGTCTAGCTTATTCATTGCCTTGTGGAGGCTGGGCGGCAGGCGTTTTTTTCCGCATAGTTACTTCGTCTTCGATGCACTACAATAAAATGCTTATGTTAAAGCTGATAGGTTTCTTAAATACCTTTCAAAGTAAAGTTAAAATTTCACAATCTAAGGGAATTAACCACCCATTTGCTCAGGAGATTTCAATTCCCTGGTTAACTCCACTACTTAAAATTGGTTTGTTTTGAAATAAAATCATTCTCTGCTAAAAAATTAAATCAAAATACTATTTTCCGAATAATTATATTTTCTGCCATATTGCTTAAAATAAAAAAATAATTTTATACTCTGAATAATTGCCTTTTAACTGTATTCTTTTTATATTAAAATATATTTTAATCTCCTAAACTTTCGCGACTAAATATTCGTAACGTGTTGTTCAAAATATGTTTTGATTTTTATTATGAATTCCGTGTACAATGCAGAGTTTTTTCCAGGTATCTCGCCAGGTATCTCGCCCCCCTCCCCCCCGACGAAAATCTACACCCCCCCCCCTCAACGAATGAAATGGAATTCATATAGAAAGCATATACTTTAACTAGTGTACCCCCCCACACCCACCCAGAAAATGTCCGTCCCCCCGAAAGTATCAATTGTCCCGTTCCCCCCCCCCCCCCGTCCCCCGTCCCCCCCCCCGTCCCCGGAGAAAAAAGTATGGAAGAAACACTAGTACAACTCGGTACATTCTAACACCTTGTTTTAAATTTTGTTAATTTCGTCGAAATAAAATAGACGTTTATATATGACAGAGCCAATGGACACCAGCGAGTTGACGAGATTCCTTCCATAATGTTGTTGACATGGAATAAAAACGTGCTTTTTAGATTTAGACCGTAAAAAAAAAACTTAAGCCTAAAGTTAATTTAGAAATTTTATATTTTTAGAATAAATGCTATAAAAGTTGCAAATCCAGAGAACTTGAAAATAATTTGTTGAGTTTAAGGCTACATTTCTATTATTTTCATCAAGCCTAAGTGATAACCGGATGTTTCACTTTCGTAAGACAAATATTGATTGGCTGTACAGTAACTTAGTGATCAATAACTATTTGTTTACAAAACTTTACAGATCAAGTTTTTAAATAACAATGCAAATTTAAAACCGCATGACCTAGTTTTCTATTTTTAGCTTACAATGTGTAGGCCTACAATAAATTTTATGGCGGCCTATCCAATAGCAGGATGCCATTGCTTATGTCGTGAAAACATAACACGTGAAAACCAAATTGTTTTTGCTTTTTTTTAAATTTTTATTTAGTTACCGAAAATATTAAAAACATCAAATACATCCAATCTTTAGTAAAGTCCGAAAAAAAAAACAGACAGGCAGGATTTTATAACCATATTAATTATAACTACGCTGTGCATGATTTTTAAATTAATTTATGGACCTCTTAAATACCTTTGAGACTTTTCTCGCTGGTGTCCATTAAGTTTCTATTTAAAATGTAATAAGTCATTAAAACGTATTTAGTTATGTAAACAGTATTGTAGCTAAATGACATTATTTTGCACACAAAACTAAAATTGAATTTCGATGTAGAGATAGTTGGAGAAAAATAAACTATATTTTCTTTTGAGTCGTGGTTGTTAGCGGCTAATGTATTTTGCTCAGTGGTAGTGGGTTCTAATCCCTCATGGACTATTTCTGTTTCATAATAGTTCTGCCTTATTCCCAATTTAAGGGTAAACCTTAATATAATGTATTATATAACGCACAGCCTTTCTTGGATGCTATGTACAGTCTGAAAACAAAAACTACACGTGTGCATCTGAACTTTTACAACACACTTAAATGATTGGTTTTAATAGTTGACCTTTAGCCACGCCCAGTTCTATAGACGCCAGCAGCATCTATGTAGATATATAAACCTGTCACTGTGTCAACGGATGGCACTACCACAACGATCAAGCCACCGTCTACAACCACAACAAGGACTACCACTAAATTAGCCGCCAGCACCAGAAAAACAATAAGTTCAACCACCATCACTAAACCAGCAAGCAGCACCACTTCAGCCAGCACCACAAAACCAACTACCACCTCCATCAAACTAATAATCTCAATCAACATGACGAAGCCTGCAACTTCAACCACTAAACCAGCAACAACCACCATTAAACCAGCAACCATCACCACTAAACAAGCAAGCAGCACCACTTCAGCCACCTCCACCAAAATCCAAGAAAAATTGTGGTCGTCATAAATGGATGACCCCTAAAGGTAGCTGGGCATAGTGCTGACCACATTATCCTTCATATGCTGAGGTCACAGAAACAAGTGAACTCTATTTCACTTGCCCTATAGACCGTCAGGTTTGAAAGGGAACTTTACATTCATTGTTTGTATCTAAACTGAGCACCTTGCCATTGTTACAGAATAACCAGATTTGTTTCGTGTTTTGTTTTGGAAACAGCTTGATTCACGTGAGGAGAATAACAAAATGGGAATCTACATCTGGATTTAGCCATACTCAAGTCTTATCTAGCGTTGTATAATTGTTCATTTAAGACTTATTTCCAAGAAACCATGACAAACTTATTTAAATGTGTTCAGTTTTACATAGTTTTCTTAATTAAAGGAAACTCACTTTTGTAATCTCAAAGGAAGTCAACATGACTTATTATTATAATAAAAAAAAGGCACTATTTTGCATTTAAAAACCAATTTTACAAAAAAGGAAAACTGTTTTATTGATACTCATTTATATAAATCTTCCTCCTCCACGTAATATAGGGTGAATTACTTTCAATTTTAAATGGACACATTTTTGTCAGTAAATGTTTAAAATAGTAGGCTTTATTATGATTTGTTTATTAGAATAGTTTAAAATCAAATGGGTAAAACAGTGCTCTTTTTGTTCTACAGTAGTGGTACTGAAATCACATAAATAGGCCCTACTTGTTCTAGAGTATATAGTACGGAAATCACATAAATAGGCCCTACTTGTTCCAGAGTATATAGTACGGAAATCACATAAATAGGCCCTACTTGTTCTAGAGTATATAGTACGGAAATCACATAAATAGGCCCTACTTGTTCTAGAGTATATAGTACGGAAATCACATAAATAGGCCCTACTTGTTCCAGAGTATATAGTACGGAAATCACATAAATAGGCCCTACTTGTTCCAGAGTATATAGTACGGAAATCACATAAATAGGCCCTACTTGTTCTAGAGTATATAGTACGGAAATCCCATAAATAGGCCCTACTTGTTCCAGAGGCGTAGCGACCCTTCCCGGCGCCCGGGGACAAACTTTTCGATTTGCACCCCCCTCAAGATTTCGATTTGCACCCCCCCTCTCAAACATTCATTCAATTTGCACCCCCCCCCCCTATTCCTCAACCTTTCAATTTGTTTTTCCAACCCATTTTGGCGCCCCTTAAGGTCGGCGCCCGGGAACATATGTCCCCCCCCCCCTCACTACGCTACTGACTTGTTCTAATGTAGATAGTACGGAAATCACTTGAATAGGCTTTACTCGTTCTAATGTAGATATTACAGAAATGACATAAATAGGCCCTACTTGTTCTAGTGAAGAGAATACGTAAAATAAACGGATTTTCGTGTGTATTAAAACCAAATAATAAACGAAAGTGTTATAGAGACTTACATCGACCCATATTACAACCCTAGAATAACACACGATGTAGAAATGATAACCCACATTCTCCCCCCCCCCTCACTTTTGGTATATGATATCAGTGGCGTAGGCAGGGGGGGGGGGTTAGAAGGGGTCATAACCCCCCCATAGACCCCTCGGTATATATATAAAAAGTATGAGGGGGGTGTGCAAATCGAAAGTTTGAGAGGGGGAGGGGTGTCCCCGGGTAAAAATTGGAACCCTCCCCCTTGAGACGATCCTGGCTATGATATTCCCTTGACCCCCTACTAAAAGTCCTATATTTCTACCATAATGATTAGGTTTAAGATTTTAAAAGACAGGGACAGATTGTCAACATGTACGGCGGTTTGCGCTAGAAGGAAATCATTTAAAAGGTGACAACATTAATACGCTTCATGTACACAAAATCATACGAGATCATTTTTATTCAAACTTTTGCTACGAAAATTGGCATTCCTCTATTTCAGGGGTTCCCAATCCCGTGCCCGCGGGCGCCATGGCGCCCGCCGAACGAGACGTATGTGCCCGCCTCTCACTATTCGACAGAGACAGAATTTTTTTTTCATAAACATTATTGAAAGGTTGAAGGGGATGGAAATCGAAAGTTTGAGGGGGGGGGGGGGGGTGCAAATCGGAAATTAGAGGGGGGGGGGGTGCAAATCGAACATTTGAGGCGCCACCCTACCGATATTTTAGAATGTGCTCTAGAGTAAAAAAAAGGTTGGGAACCTTTGCTCTATTTAATTCATTTTTAAGGTATTTGAAGTTATGTACTAATAACGATAAGTCGAATGTATGCCGACACTTTTAGAGCCCCAATTTTTGAAGGTCATTGCATATTCGCCAAGTAGACAATCGACTTCAAGGCTTTAAATTGATGTTAATTCATGCCCTCTCTAAAATCGTAATTCATTCCGAGAACCTGAAATTGACACAAACATTAAAAATCGTTAGACGTTTATTTTACTCTTAATAAAAAAAATCGTCAATTTAATTTCACTGGAGAGCACTGTTCTGTGAATACAGATAATTTCTTAGACGTTTTCAAGAAATTACAATGCATTGCGGCCAATGAATCAAATTTAATTCTAGAGATAAATCATTGTTAAAAAAACCCACGCTTAGATAACCGATGAGAAATTATTAAAAAGTTGAAAACCCATTGTTATTGCCCTTGATATTTATATTTTATTTTTACCGCCCACCCTCTTCGGAAAATCGATTCGCATTTGGAACACTTCGAACCATTATTTTTACCGGAAGATGATTCATCCCCAGCGCCCGGATGCTGTATTTATAACTAAACATCAAAGATGGCGCCGAGTAGAAGAATCTGCAGGTGTCCGTAGGAATTTATCCATATATTGAATATTCTGAATGGATATGTAGTGCTCTGTGAACTTTGGATTGTTTTAATTATTGTGTTTTGTAGTAATTTTGTTAAATAAATTTTCTGAAAATGTCTGACAAGGTTCAGGTGGCCGTAAGAGTTAGGCCAGTAAATAAACGCGGTAAGTTTGCAAATTTGCTGTGATCTGTGACAGTGGGTTGCTGTCTGCTGGCTTACGTGTTTTTTTTTTAATCGTATTAAATAAATTATTGCACACGTTCTTGTATTGCTTGGCTAATATCTGAATCTTTCAGATCAGCACAGCCAGTCAAGATCAAACTGCTGCTGAAGTTAATTAAAATTTTAAAATTTCTTTTATTTAGTCGAGTAGGCTTTGTTGTTTTTTGTTTTATTTTTGAATGAACCTTTCCTTTTTTGTTTTTCTTAAATCCAATTGTTAATTTAATAATTAGGTCCAGCTAGCTGTTAGTTTTAATTATCCTAATAATTAGGAGGCATCTATAACGTAGGCCTATCGACTTTCACTAAGGCCTATGACTAGGTAGGCCTAATAATTTAATTTTGTAGGCCTATTAAAATTCATAGGCCTATCTTTCTAGATTTTAATTGTAGAAGTTTGCTGTACAAGAGTGTAAAAACATTATGAGAGGCCGACTGATAGTAGGCCATAGGGGCCTAGAGCTCTAATAATAATAAATATCTAGGCCTAATAGTAGACCTAGGCCTATCCTATAGCCGTTTAGGATCTAGTTAAGTATGGCCTAGAAATCTAGATATCTAGGTGAAGATCGAGATATAGAATCTAAATGAATGTAGGCCTAGTCTACGTCTAAAGAGATCGTAAAATCCCTTTTTCACCCCATCAAAATAGAACTAGAATCTAGTCGAAATCTGTTTTTCGAGTTTAAGGTGGTTGAAAGGTCGACCTAATTCTAGCTTTAGATTAATAGGCCTATGGATCTAGATTAATCTAGATAGACCCTACAAACTATTTTACTTTTAGTTCATATAAGAGTTAGGGTCTAAGGAATAAAAACACGGAGGGGATGGGATGTTATTTTATAGTTTTATGGATTTGCTAGTAGTAGTACTAGTATCTAGCAGGGGTAGCTCTACTAGTATTGTGCTAGGGATGCTGGAGATTACTACTGAATTACAGATGACATAAGTAAAATAGGTCCTAAATATTTAAGCTAAAAGCTTTTTATAGGCTATAGCATTATTAGCATCCATGACAGTCAAACTACCTGCGGCCTTACAGCCATATGGCAGCCTATATTATCCTAAATATAGAGATCTTAGCGCATAATACTATTGTAATCATTATTATTAAAAACTAGTATGAAAAATTGCCTGAAATAAGATGTGTGTTGACATTATAACTTGTAGCAAAATAAGTATTATAATGTCATTGTTGGACACTGATAAAAATGAATACCCCTATAATTTATTTTATGTAACCTAGACCGAGGATAATCCATAGCTTTTTTTAATTCAATGATAAATATCAATGGTTTTGAAAGAATAATCACAAGTTGAAGTAGTTTACATTATTTTGTTTTGTGTGAATAAATGAAATCTTTTATCCGCAAAATGAATTTAAAGATGGATTGTTGTTGCAGAGGTTTTATGGTAAACTACCTTCTACCTTACATAATTAAATTAAGTAGGCCTAAACCTAGCTAAACAGCACCATCCCCTTGTTTATTGGGTGGCTCTATGGTCTTGTGGTGGTTGGATAAATAGTATGATAAACTTCTTTAAAAAAAAGTGCTGTCACTCTCGGTTGTATTGTTTAATTAGCATTATCTGATCATATTTTATTAAGGCCTATTTAATAATATTAATAATATATTGTTAGTATTATAGACCCGTAATATTAATTTGAATGCAGATATTACTACTTTTTGTGCGTGTTACTTAAGTTACTTATAATTTATAATATCATATTGTTATTATTTATATATTTGGTGCACTAATAATTTATTTTGCCGAGCTAGAATTTGAATACTTTATAACACTGAGTCAAATGAGTAATTTTTTAACTAGGTGTAATGCAAGCTTGTTGATGTCAAACTCAACATTGTTAATGTTGATGTAGCTAGTAATAGTAATATATAATATCATACAATGTTAGAATAATTTATAGTTTCAATAATACCATGAAATAGTCTGACAATAGTAGACAAGTTTAGAAAAATGTAATCACTATGGCTTATAAAGTTGTACTCTTGAGTTGAGGTTCATCATGGTTCTTAAACTTTTTATATATTTGTTTACAATATGCCTAGTCTGTAATGCACCATGTCTTTTAAAATCTCATTAGGTGGGACTTATGTAGGTATGCATTCCAAAGGTCACTTTATACATTTGAACATATCACTAGCTTAAGTAAATTTTTTATTAAATGTTTTTAGCCTATAAGGCAGCTGTTCACCAACATAACTGTGTCACCATGATAGAGGGCAGCTGCTGTGTTGTAGAAGTAAAGTCAAGGTCTAAGAAAGAAAATTGAAAGGAGGAGAGAAAAAAATTGTTCATAAAATGTTTATCTAATTTAAAGGGAAATAATCCCCCACCTCTAGTATTGGGTAAAATTATGAGTCATTTGGTATGTATTTGAGCCACTGGTATGTCTAACATGACAAGTTAAGTGTACTCAGTTTATATATCAGTGTTTCACTACACACAGTTTTTACTTCTTCAGCTTTACTTCATACCACCAGTTACTGGTATCTTCATACCAGCAGCTCCTAGTATTAACTTTGTATACATGCTTGTCATGTCAAGGTTGTTTCTCTACAGTTGGTATTGGATAAATGTCATGTTGCACAATCTGTAGCAGCTGTCAAAGATGGCACTGTCATGACATGTCAGAGTTACATGATCAGTGTTCAGCTGCACGAAGTGGTTTCCCACATTTTTCAGATTCACTGAATAATGCCAGACAGTGTACGAGGTCGACGTCTCTGTACTATTGCGTCACAGTTGGTTATTGATGCATGGTTGACATATCTGCAGTGTGCTCCACAGCTGGTTATTGATGCATGTCGTTTTGCACATTGCCAGCCAGGGAGCCGCCCTGACAGGGATACAGCGATCAATGTCGTATTCCCTGACTGGGTCAGGCTGACCTCAGTCTGTAGTCTGGTATTGTGTGCAGACATTTTTATTTTTTGCTGGGGGGGGGGGGGGGGGGCAAAGTTAGTTTCACACAGAGTATATTTACAATATTATGAAAACAATCGGGTGTGAACAGCCGTTACAGCTGAGCACCCATAGTGCTTGACCGTGTTTATAGAAGGTAGAGTTGGTGTGTTGCGGTGATGTATTATCATGATAGATCCAATGCCTCGTCCTGTCTAAAGATGACAGCCTACCTGTATTTACCTTGATGGGTCGTCTGTTTGTTGACCCAGTACTACACTCGACCTGGTTTGAAAACTGGTTGATTGTGACATTCCTGCCATCATTTAATGCAGGGCTTTACACATCACACGATAGTTACCTTGGTGCATCCACAGCATGCATCTATCCGACATTCCACTCCTGTTTGTTGGCATGATTTACAAGCGATCGTTGTAATTTTAAGTCTTTGTTTTTGGTTTCACCCTTCATATTAAAAAAAGTATATATCTTCAATTGTATATCTAATCTTAGGATTCAAAGGTAACCATATTGAAGGTTTATTAACTCTGTATTGTCTGTCTTACTTGGTACTCGCTGTGACGTTTTAAAAAAACCCACAAATTTTACTTTTTTTCTTGCTGCGTTTTACCAACGTATTCGCTCAAATAATTCAACACCATCTTTGGTGGCTTCTATCCGCCTTTTATACAGACCATGTGTACTTGGGGCTCAATTTTGTAATACATTGCCTCCGTTTTTCATTAAACTGATACACAATCGCGAAATCTCTTTTTTTTAAAAATCAAACAAAATTTTAAATGTAAGTTAACAAATGAATGAATTACGTAGCATTTGCGGCCATCCTTTCAACTGAGCAATATAGCGACTAAGTGAATAGAGAATCTAGTGGATGAATGAGATCACACCGGACGCTCTTTTGTTTTGATACAAGTTTTGCGTGTTTTCGACCAGTACGTGAATGACCTTACAAAAATTCCGATTGTTTCTTTTAAATCTAAAAATGCCTTGTGGAATTGGCTTTTTTGTTCTCTTTGCCCCGCGAGATACCAATTATTAGCTAACAGGTGATACAAAAAGACTTTTTTTCAGCCAGAGACAGAAACCCAACGGTATAAAAAAATGCAGCCATTTTCTTTCTTCCAAGAGTTGCAACGTCTGTACAATTTAATTTCCTAACACGAAATATAAGTTTAAGTTTGGAAGCCTGAATAGAAAATTTATTACCAAATATATCTTTAGTTTTAAAAAGCTGCCTATCCTAAGTTAATAAGTCAAATAGTGAATGCATGGTAAAATCTTGACACCACATGTAATTGCAGGCTAAAAACTTGACACAGTTGTATTGTAGGCTAAAAACTTGACACCGCGTGTATTTTAGGTTAAAAATTTGACATAGATGCATTGTATGGTAAAAACTTGACTTGGTTGTATTGTAGTGTAAAATGTTGACACAATTGTATTGTAGGGTAAAAAACTTGACACAGTTGTACTGCAGGGTACAAAGTTATACCGTAGGATACAAACTGAACACACGTATAAAGGTACACCGTTTGTTGTTAGTTCTGGCGTCACCGCAGACACCAATGGCTCACTACCAGGCTGCCTCGATAACCTTTGCTAATGCGGCAGATAACAGCGTCACCTGTATCTCAGGTGGTTAGTGACGGGTGGAAGACGAAAGCTAATTTCGCCAGAGCTTCGGCTAATCATGATAATTAAAAGTAATTAGCATGATGGCAAGTCCGTCCCGTGTTAAGTTAAAATAATAAAGAAGAATCGTATGTACTATGCCGTATGTTCCCACAAATGTTTGCGATTGTGCTTATTATAACTGACAAACATTCCAAAGACAAAAGACTTCATTGTTTTTCTAAAAAAAAAAAAACAAATATACAAGTCCCCCCCCCCCCCCCCCCCCCCCCACCCAACCCCGTCTTTTACAAAATATCTTTAGTTCGTAATTTCCTTTTTAAAAAACATGTAGGATAAAAGCATTTCAGAAATAAAAGTTTTCAATTAGTGGTATCCAAACATGATTTATTAGCCAATTTAATACAATTAGGGTGCTAATTATTTGGCCTATTAACCACGAGTGTCCACGCGTTTTACTTCTCTGTGTGATTCGATTTTTCCCTAACAAATTACTTTCACTGACAGTGTCCCTAATACGTTTTAATCAGGAATCTTTTACCTTTCCGTGTTCCAAAGATAATGAATACACCCAGCTGTCAACCCTAACTAAACTAACATATAGACAGATAAATAGGTAGATTAGGTAGGTAGATTTGTTCCTTTTAGCCTCTGGAGACTTTATGTGCGCATGCGACATGAAATCATCAAAACACATCAGGGGGCGTTGAAGAGATCATGGGCTTATCCTGTACCTAGATCTCTCTCTCTCTCTCTCTTTAATTTATATTGTAGTATTTATAGTACAAAGGGATACAAAGCATTACGTTAAGGTTCCAACTTCGGTATCCCTCTTTCGAATCTTATTCAAAAGCAATGCAGAAACTGCTGTAGAGAAACAAGTTATTAGTCCTATCCCCTACATACCACTAACAGAACTAATCACTTACTATACCAATTACATAAAACAAAATCTAAAACCTGACTCATCTTGTAACATCCAGAAGAAAAATCTTTAACCCAAATTAAACAGATTCAACCTGTTATTTGCCTCACATGTTGTTGCGTTGCTCGAAATCTCCTGTTTATACTGATCTGTTATTCTGGCTTTCTTTATCTCCAGAGAGGGATTTGGGGACAAAATGTGTCGTGGATATGGAAGGAGGCCAGACTGTTTTGCATCCCATCAAAGACGGGTAAGTTATGTGCACGCATTGATTGTTTCCCCTTGTTGGTTATCTCCCTTCTATGTTATCATTACACTGGCTCAAGACAGTTAATGTGTAGTGGGTATTGGCTTGCATGGTGTACAGACAGGGAAATGTCACACATATATGATCCCCACTATAGTTAAATGTTCATCTTATTTAATTATATGGTGCCATGACACATGTAATAAAGTTATAGACTGAAATGGCTTGATCTCACGGAATTGAAAAATTACTAAACTGACGGACTATAGGGCTTGTAAGTAGGTCACCAACTCCGTATCATACTCGCTAGCTATTATTTTTCAAACCAATTGTGAAAATGTTTATTAACTTGGTTAAAAAAGTTACTTACGCTATTGTTAAGTTATGTAAAATCGTAAAAACTGATAATAATCTTTGAGAATTCACCTGACCATGGCTAACGAGATTTCAAATTTTAAGTAAGAGAAGCAAAGAGACTTACAAGCCCTATATCCGAACAATTAAAAAAATAATTAATGAAAAAATATTTGATTTGTTCCGCCGTTGTGTCCCAATTGTATTGGTTAGCATGGGCCACATCTCTGAAGACGGGGCTGCAAACGCCCTGAGCATACCTTACCCTGATATGAGCCCTGCCTGCAAACGCCCTGAGCATACCTTACCCTGATATGAGCCCTGCCTGCAAACGCCCTGAGCATACCTTACCCTGCAGTGAGCCCCAGCCCCGGGTGAACATACCTGTCACCGTGTCGGCTTTGTCCGTTACGTCACTGAGTCATCGCTTAATGCTGTTCTGACATGGCCTGCGCTGTCGTTGATTTCCTCCCATCCACCCCACCCCCCGACCTGCACACCGGATACAGGGCCCATCCGTTGATGTCGTTCATTAATTCCATGTTCTGATAGCTCTTGGCCAATATTGATTTACGCATGCCTAGACATGTCATTATGCACTTGCTAAACACTTGATTTCGCCTGATTATCGGTTAGAGGGGAATAAAAGAAAATTATATTGCCCCGGGACCTTCGTTTTCTGTGTTGTAAAAATAACTTGGCTTTAGCGAAGTTTTAAGAATATACATTTTCAAGTCGGGTTTTTTGGTTTAAAACTGCATTTCTTTCTATTAAAAATGTACATTCTGCATTCATTTACGTTTTCTTTCAACAAGCTAGTACAGAATGGCCACAATAGAGCTAATGTCTTGAATTCTTATAAAGTTAAAATCTGCTTTGTGGATTTATTTTATCGTATATTAGACGTTTTGTGGATAAAAAATGGATCAAAATTATAGATCAATTTCCTTTTCTTTAATTATAAAGAATCGAATCAACATGCATATTAAAGCCGGCTGAAGATAATTTTAGGAAAGGTGTTGAAAATATTCAAAAACTGATGGCGTCATTGACATATCCTATCCTCATTAAGTTTTAAGAGGTCATTGAAACGATCTTCGTCTTTTGAAGAGGTATACTTAATTTTAAAAAATGTAATCTGTTATAATCAATAAATAATACAAATTGAAGCTTATCTTTTTATTCAGTCTCTTGTAAGGTTATACGTTTCTGAACATTTGAAGTGGGCTATTTTAAATGATGAAATGAGCCTTGTGTTTCAAGATTTGTTTGTCCGTATGTCTGTATGTTAGGGCTTTTGTCGTCTGATCTTTCTGCTCATGATTGATCATTTTAGATCAAAGATCATTTGTTATGATTGTTTCCGCTCCACGATCTATTTGTATAGTCGATCTGTCTGATGATGGAACACGAGAAATGTAAACTTAATTAAATAGTCTTTATTGTCCTCACCGGAAGTGCCATTGTGTCTCCACTATCAACTCATTCATCGCTTCCGGAGAGCGATAATTGTAAACTCCGGAATGGACACGGAGTTTTTTTTTCGTTTTGTATTTCATGTCTTTTAGCATAGCCTACCTATTTCTGATGTGTGGTCGGCTCGCTGATCTAGTATACAATGGTGTGGCCGGCTCACTGGTCTAGTATACAATGGTGTGGCCGGCTCACTGGTCTAGTATACAATGGTGTGGCCGGCTCACTGGTCTAGTATACAATGGTGTGGTCGGCTCACTGGTCTAGTATACAATGGTGTGGTCGGCTCACTGGTCTAGTATACAATGGTGGGGCCGGCTCACTGATCTAGTATATAATGGTGTGGTCGGCTCACTGGTCTAGTATACAATGGTGTGGCGGCTCACTGATCTAGTATATAATGGTGTGGCCGGCTCACTGGTCTAGTATACAATGGTGTGGCCGGCTCACTGGTCTAGTATACAATGGTGGGGCCGGCTCACTGATCTAGTATATAATGGTGTGGCCGGCTCACTGGTCTAGTATACAATGGTGTGGTCGGGTCGGCTCGCTGGTCTAGTATACAATGGTGTGGCCGGCTCACTGGTCTAGTAAACAATGGTGTGGCCGGCTCACTGGTCTAGTATACAATGGTGTGGCCGGCTCACTGGTCTAGTAAACAATGGTGTGGCCGGCTCACTGGTCTAGTATACAATGGTGTGGTCGGCTCACTGGTCTAGTATACAATGGTGTGGTCGGCTCACTGGTCTAGTATACAATGGTGGGGCCGGCTCACTGATCTAGTATATAATGGTGTGGTCGGCTCACTGGTCTAGTATACAATGGTGTGGCGGCTCAGTTATCTAGTATACAATGGTGTGGCCGGGTCGCTGGTCTAGTATACCGGCAATTTGCGCCGACTCGGAATGTGCCCAGCGTCCATCGATTTCTCACTCACTTTTCTCTTAGTTTTTCCTGTTCATAAAAGAAAATGAGAAGCCAGCGGGCAATAAAAGGCCTGGTCTTTGATGTTATTGCGGGGGGGGGGGGGGGGGGGGCGATGTTAGGTATTTATAAGGAGGAGCAGGGGGTGTATTGACAGATAGTAGGGACTAGAATATTTTACAGTCGTGGTTGGAATATATAAATAACTCGTCTGTGTTTACTTATTCAGTGTACACTTACTATATAGTTGGGGAATAATTTTAAGTTCCATTGTTTTTTGTCATTATTCATATGTTTACCATAGCTGAGAATTGTTGGGTTGGTATATTGTTAGAAACCTATCCTCTTGTCAATGGTTATGTATTGTAATGTAATACTTTTTCAAAATTAGAAGTAATGATGAGTAATACCGCATATATTTTTGTTGAATTTTTTTTTTAATCCGCGCCAACCCATATTTTGTAAAAAAAAAAAACGTTGTTTTCCCGAGGTTAAGATTGTGTTCATTGCTACCTTGCTGCGAAGCTTATCTATTTACCAGACAAATCTACTCACATTCCCCAGTTCCGTCCAGTGTCAGACCACCAACATACAAATGGTAACACACACGTAGCAAAGATTATTCTAGAAAAGACATCCTCGCTAGGAAATTTTAAAGCGAGCATTGAAATTCGCCCCTCCCCCCCTCCGTTTTTTTTTTCTTTACTTCAAATTGATGACGTTGAAATTAATTTATTCCCGTAAAGCCAATAAAAGCCGTTAGAGCTAGCTACAAGGACTTGGTAATACATTACGGGGTTGAGGGTGGGTGGGGGACTAGATCGATGCTCCATATACGCTCTCCTCCGTGCGGAGTTGAAAACTGAACACACTTGAAGCGCTCAACACACCACACAGTCAACGACCGATTCAATGTTCAAAAGTGTTGCCGTCTTGAAATATTGACAGCTGCGAGCCATTTTTTTTCCTTTTCTTTTTCTTCTAGAGTTAGAGAGTTCTAATGTTATTGGTCACTACGCCGGAAATAGTCGCGTTGATTTATTTTTATACGTCTTTCGGTTTTTTTTTTCTTTCTCCGTTCTAACTTTCTGGCGGCCGATATTCTAGACCGGCCTCGACAGTGGCAGAATCCCAGTCTGTAGTCTCCGTGCCATTGATCCTGGTTGAAAATATCGATGACGCTGGCTCCAATTTTCTCGGCCCAGGGTCGTTGGCTACTTTTGTAAAGCCGCGCTATTAGTTAACAGATCTTGGTTTGCAGTTTGTACTTGCTAGTGATAGTTGAAGGAACATATTTGTATTTAACAAATCTATTTTTTAATACGAGAGATCACACCAGTATTCCGCATATTACTTATTATTACTAGATTGGTTTATTAAACATTGTTATGCATCAGTTCATCGCTAGTTGCTCGGGTCTTGCTAATAATGATAAAAAATAAATAAACTGCGTGACCATCACCGAGTTTGTTAGTTTGTAGACTTAATGTAATATGGGATATGACTATTTGGGTGAAAGTTACTTAGTTCATAGTCTCTAGATTAGGATAAAGCTACTAACTTTATCGTAATCTAGAGAAGTAACTGTTACTAATTTTGTAGTCTCTAGGTTGCGATAAAGTAACTTGGTAACTGGACGTCATTTTGGGATACGGCTACTTGTTAGACTATTTTGGGATGAGGTTACATGGTTTGTATACTCCATGTATCGTGGGATAAACGTACTCATCTGCTATGGGATACACTCGCGTGCCTCCTAAGATTCCTGTATACGTCTGTATGCTTAGAGTTGGTACATCAACCACCACGCTACGCCCTGGGGAAATGTAAACAAACTCCCCAGGGGGAATCACGTACTCAGACGGGCGTTTGTTGTCCTACAATAACGTCCATTGATGTCTTACCTGTATCGAAACAGGTACAGTAAGTTCAGTTCACCCGTAAGGTCAGGTCGGGACATGGAAGGTAGGCTGGACTTGGACGTGACCTTTCAACCTGAGCTAGTTTGCCGTTTGATAGCCTTGGTACAGTGTGCCTTATTGTTTCCATGTGTGGCAAGTTACCATTGTTTACCGATGGTGCTTCGGTACTGTGTGGGTACTCACCATAGTTGTAACGTATAGGATGTTTACATCAGCTACCATGTGTTCAGTGATGGTACTTTGGTAGTGTGTGGGTACTCACCATAGCTGTGACGTTTAGGATGTTTACATCAACTACCATGTGTTCACTGATGGTACTTTGGTACTGTG